GTGAGTTAATGTGTTTTTATAAAAATGGACAAAATTGAGAATCGAGCTGTCATTAAATATTTGTTTTTGAAAGGCAATGCGCCTACGCAAATCAAAGAGGAGGTGGATTCTGTGTATGGGACCTTCTGCACAATCATTCACCACAGTGAAATTTTGATCAGCTGAATTTAAACGTGCTTGGGAGACAATGAACGTTCAGGGCGTCCAAATGAATATCCTATTGCACTATATTTTGATCTCAGTAGAGCATTCAATACTGTAAATCATGAGCTTCTATTTAAAAAATCAAACCGTATTGGAATACGTGGAGTAGCGAATAGATGGGTTTCTTCCTATTTACAAAATAGAAGTCAGATTGTCATGATGAATTAATTCAAATCAAAGTCAACCAATGTTTCTATGGGTGTACCACAAGGCTTAATACTTAATCCACTGCTTTTTATCATATTTATTAATGACATGATTTCATCATGTGCTTCCCCGCAAAAAACCATAATTTATGCCGACGATACAAATCATATGATATCACAAGATAATCTGGACAAAAGCATTCATTTGAGTAATGTATGCGCTAAGGAATTCTTTCAACTCATTCTTCATGGTTTTTCGACAAAAAAATATCAGCTGTGACGCAAGCCCTCTTGTTAAAATAAATCATAAGTCAATTGAGCAAGTATCAAACAAAATTTCTGGGCGTAACAATTGATGAGAAACTGACATGGAGAACTCATATCGAAAATCTGGTAGGGAAATTGAGTAGTATCAATTTTATTAACAGACAACTGAAGGACACTGTATAATCTATAGAGGATCTCAGAATGGCATATCATGGTCTAGTGTCGTCGGCCCTCATATATGGCTTGATCTTCTGGGGTAATTCAACATATATTGATAAAGTATTCATTGCTCAGAAGAAAATCATAAAATACATGATGGGAGTTCGAAATAATGTGTCTTTATTATTTTAAGTCATTGTCAATTCTAACTTTACCATCACTTTATATTTATCTTCTAATTATGAATATTAAAAAAGAGCAAGATGCCTACATGAAAAGTAGTGAACTTCACAACACCAAACACGGAAAAAAAATGACATTCGCTTACCATTCTCTAGGCTTAGTGTGGGACAGAATTCTCCAAAATACCAAGGAATTCTATGTTATAACCGTTTCAATAGGATCTTTGGTGAGATAAAAAATTTTAATACCTTCAAAACAACATTATTCAATTACCTTAATGAAAATACTTTCTATACAATAGAGGTAGGTAGGTAAGTCTAAAGTGAGTGGGTCTATTCGACCCTCCACCGCAACCCATAAGGGTTTATTGTGGCTCACACCTATTCACACTCGGCCAATAAACCCAGCTTCTTAACGAAGCCGATTAGTTTGTATGGTGAGTGGTCTTTCAGGTCAGATGGTGAGAGTACGGATCTGCCGAACTCAAAGAACCTGATGATTCGGTCTCCAGCGGGGCAGGCACAAAGTATATGCTCTGCAGTTTCATCATTTTCCAGACAGAGACGACACACACTGTCTTCCGACAGTCCAAGTCTCTGCATGTGATGATTCAAAGGACAGTTACCTGTAAGAAGGCCTGATAGACATCGTAGTTCATCCCTACTGTAGTCCAACAACTGTTTGGAATCAAGCTTCGAAGGGTGAATAAACGCCTTGGATTGAGCCAATCAAGGAAGATTCTACCAGAAGTCCATAACTCTTCATATACAATAGAGGAGTACCTCACTGTTTGATGCTAATAGTAGTTTTGTTGTATGTGAGTTTTTTCATATTCTCTTTCGAGTTCTATAATGTATTTATGAGTTTTAATACTATATGTTTTGACTAGTCTGATAAGTTTTGTACCATTGTGTAAAACTTTAACGATGATTAAATTATCTGTATGTAATAGCTTTGGATATAAAGGGACTGTTAAACGGACCCTTTACAAGAAACTGATAATAATAATAAATGCAGAAGGCTGTCATTATTGGTTCATCAAGTCTTCTCAAAGAACAATGATCACTCACCTCATTCATGTGATACAAGCATATGCAATGAACCAAGGATGGAAGCCTTCTACATTAACCAGGCCAAGATTTCTGCGAATTACAATAGACCGATATGTTCTCAAGATTCAACAGTATAATTATTATAAAATCAATATATGCAAATGCGGCCACTTATACCACATCTATACCTTATACCCACCAACTGGAGTTTTAGTGGGTGGAAAGATGCAATCATTGAGTTTTTCAAATATACTTGAAAAGTTCGAAATATTATCGAAAAATGAATTGACATAAATTACAGTGTTCTTGAATAACGTACCAAAGAAATAATATTCCAGTAACCACAGGCCAGGCATTGCCATACCATACGATTCTAGCCACAATAAATCCTCGTGTATTGCATTGAAGGGTCAAATAGACCAACTTACTTCGAACCTAACCTAACTCGTATGTCAGGTCTTTTCATACCATTGATCATATGGCTCCAATTAAAAAAAAATCTTATTATACGAATCTTGCAATGATTTCTTATAACAAATCGTTTTTTTGTTACTTGGGAGCCATTCGACTTGTCTATTTTCTCCAAGTGTTTGAAAAACACTATAGCTGGGTTGTTTATAAATTGTTTATCTTCTGTGATCCAGTGTTTCACATTTGTGAGGCACACATTCTTTGTTGCATTGCATGCAGCTAAGGTCTACGTTATACTGCCCTATTCTGTTCAGGTGGTCTCTCAATGGAGAGTGCCTTGTAATAATTCTAAACAGATCCCTGCTTTGCTGAAACAGGTCTTCAATTCTCTTTTCGTATGGTCACTTTAGAAAAGTTTTCCAGTGTGTACCCGGATATATTTTCGCAAAGATTTCAGTGCCACCATAGTTGGTTCAAGACCTATACAGTGTATTTCTTTAATGTCCCCCCCTTTATTTTTTGAACGGGTCAACTCAAAAAATTGATATTTGGGATAACGAAATTAATGGGATAATGAAATTGACAGATGAAACTTTTAAGATGGCGACTGGGCGCCATCTGGGAAAAAAATTAAATGGAAAGAGTGGTCTTGTGACACATCATTTTGAAGCTCCTGGCGAATACTTCACAACCCTAAAATATGAAGTCAATATCTTCACCTACTACAAAATTGCGGAACATTTAATAATTTCCTGAAGACAAACACATTAATATCGATATTTCTAGAAATATTCCTTTTTATCTGCCATTTGGCAATTCCAACAACCCGATAAGGTTTGTTAAGTTATTTTTTGTTTATATTATGTAGTTAAATGTCAATGTATTTAGGCAATTATTAAAAGTTCCACCATTTTGTAGTAGGTGAAGATATTGACTAGGGTTGTGAAGTATTTGTCAGGAGCTTCAAAATGATGTGTCACAAGAACCCCCATTCCATTTATTTTCATTCCCAGATGGCGCCCAGTCGCAATCTTGAAAGTTTCATCTGTCAATTTCACTTCAAAATAAAGTATTCATGCATTAATTTCATTATCCCAAATTTCAATTTCACGAGTTGACCCGTTCAAAAAATAAAAGGGGGTGGCATTAAAGAAATGCACTGTATATAGAGCTTCTGTGTATAGACCAAGCGAGTAACTGAAATGTATATTTCACCCTGTATATTGAATTCCAGCGCCTGTCTTATGGTCGGTTTTGTATCAATCTGTGTTTCTGTCGAGCATGTTCTCAGGATGAAAACATGCTTACAGTTTATAACTTCAACCGCGAAGTATGTGTCTAAAATTTATTTCAGTGTTATTTGGTAAGAGAACCCTAAATTTTCAAAAACTGATATCTCAAAAACGAAACAGATGAACTTTAATAAACTTGTTGGGATTGTTATTCAAGTTGAAATGAAACTATTCTCTATGATTAACTATAATATAATCAACTACCTCTACTACCAATAATACTACTTTAATTTTTATGTACTTTCAACAAGTCAGCCCAGTGGAAATGTTAGTCTTCTATTCATTTTTCATGCTATTCATTCAATTCATGGGTAAGAAACACGCTTCTTATCTTCCAAACGAATATAAATCAATTTAAGATCTAATTTCACTATCTCCTGACTAATTTTCTTATTCGTGTAAAAGTTAGTCTGCAAGTTTACTATGAACCAAATTTTATGAAGTTTTACTCATAATTCTCAACTTCTCCAGTGTTACGTAAAGGTTAATAATATTTATCTATTTCCCCATCAAACTTTTGAATTAATAGCTACAGTTACTGAAATCATTATTATTATTTTTGCTCTAGGGTAACTTACCAATTTTGAGTAACCCATGACTACTTCAGTTGTAGGGTTGAATCTTACAGTACCACTCAGGCAGTCACTGTATTGATTATACCCTTATTGAAAAACAATCAGTTAACGCCTTTGGTTTATAGTACACAAAAGTACTTTTATTATAACTTTCAATGAATTTTGATACAAAATTGTTTTCTCCCATAAGTTTATGCTTGAATTTTGTTTCTAAATAATCCTTTCAAACCTTCATTGTGAAAATATCACAAAAACACTTTGAGAGCTGCTCAAGGATGAACTTCATACATCCCATCTTGAATGTTCTGAAAATATATGATCTTAATTCAATCATATAAAAAACTAGAGAACAGAAATATTCGTTTTTTCGTATTCCATTTTCTCTTCAGTTCTCGCTAATTTACGTATTGAAATCTTTAGGAGAATACTCAGGGGAATTTACAAGTATGATTAGTTGAAATGTTTTTGATTTACTTAAAAATCTGATTTCAATAACCTTTAATTATCTTGAAAATTATTGAAAAAAACTGTATATTGTATATGAAATATTTTACGTAAGGTATAGATGTGAAAGACAAGATTTGCTATACACAACAAAATTTTCCGACGCCCAGACCTTGTAATATAATGGAGAAAAATATTTGTAAATGAAATAATAATTTTGTGAATGAAGTATGATGTGAAAAGTTAATTGAATATTATTATACTGACCAGTACCTGACATTTGGCCCATGGGATTGCCTTTGACGATGCCAGCGTAGCTACCTAGTATGCCTTGCACAGGACAGAGAAAGTCATAATGAAGGATTTGGGGTACAGCATACTACAGGGTGCTTCAGGATGTTACAGTGAATGCAGGAACAGAATCTAAGCTCATTTTTTCAACTTTAGTTATGATAGTTGTTGCTCTCTTTCCAATTTTAAATTAGTTGAATGTCAAGTTGAACCATTTCGAAATTGAAAATACTTTTTCTATTTCACTACTTCTTTTCATATTATCTTTAACCTTCTATCATTGAAATTTTATCATCATTATTAAGGTGAAAATTGACTGAAAAATATTTCGGTAAATCGTTTTAGTGTTTCTTGATAATATTTATTATTTGTGTATAAAACAGGCAGTATTGTATTATAGCAGTGCTTTTTGGTAATATTTTCAATGTGTTTTAAAGGTTTTCTTTCAATTTCAAGGTATTCATCTTATGATAATAAATTTTACATTATTGAAACTCTGGGAAGGCCTCAACCAAATATGTCTTTATGACTTTAGCCTCCCCTGTTCTCCAATGCACAAGCCGTCACTGGAGTTAGGTGCCAATATTTCAAATTTATAAATATAATATAAATTTTACTTACTGTGAAATAAGTTTATTAGTTGTGACAACTATTTGTGTTGTATAAAATTATTAAAATCTTAGAAATTTTTCAATAAACAACGCGTGAACAAAGTAAATTGTCAAACAATTGTAATATGTCATCAATCGGTCTCAAAATATAAGTGACTCACGTTTGTATAGGTATATCTATTCAATGCACTGAGTTCTCACTGATTAAACAAACAACTATTTTGTTTTCCTTTTTCACTTGTGAAAGAAAAAAAGGAGGCCACCTGAATAAACATTATTATTATTATAAAAGTATGCGTTTTATGGCTTATTTTATTGATGAAGCATGTGTATTCTTTCATCATCCCAACTGTAATGAGAATATATAGTGCTTTAGTAAAGTGTGCTGAAATTTAAAGAATTCTAACCATTTTTATTCGCTCAGATGTAGCACTCCTATTCGTTCCAAATGTCATTGCCTGTTTTAATAAAAAAAAAACGTCAAATTTGAATGTAAGATGTTCGGACTTCCATCGTTTTAAAAATTAACACCACCAAAGACAATTGTGTTTACTAACAATCAAAACGTAAAGTAGCTTAGTTTGAAATCGTCTTTGAATCACAACCTGACAACAATATTTTCGTTTCAATGCAATAATATTTCTAAGAATTTAGTGCCTACTATTATGAAGTTTTAGTATAGCGTCTATGGAGCATGATCACGTGATAATGCCTACTCAAAATATTCATTGTTTTGACGTTTCTTTTTCAGTATTGAATCATCTAGCGAGTACGCAAAGAATGTAACACAGAAGCATGTGTATCAGTAATCTTTGACTTATATCCAAGAATGATATTTGATTTAGGTTTGCAGTATTTTGTAGTAGTTGGGCTAGCATGTTGTGTAATATACTGAATTTATATTTTTGCGATGGTTGGAATATTTCTTCTTAATCAAAATGACGATGGATTTGAGGTTGGGAAGGGAAGATTCACATCTGAAAGATTCCAATTTTTGTGGAGTATCGGATCATCAACTCTATATGTGGACACTGTATTGGACTAGACCAGAAAATGAGGCAACAAGAAATAGGGAAAAATATATCTACAAGCAAACTGGAAATCCTTTATGAATAGATTTTCTGAGAAGAAAAGTGAAAAGTTGCTTCAATAGATCAGGGATCGCCTCAAAATTATTATAAGGCTACTCACTGTATTTAGGGACACCTGAATAAAGCAAGGCTGTATAACAGACCTTATCTGCAGACAATGCAACAAAGGAACAGAGTCTTATATGAATGTCAGGCTTTCTGACAGGATGAAAGTAATTTATAAAGAAACTAAACTAAATCCAGAAGAACATGGCAAACATCCGACAAAGTATCTACACAAACTAGTACAGGAAACAAGTAATTTATTTTTAGAAGTTGTTCTCAAACATAAGATCAGAGATATTAGCATACAAGTCGGAAACATGAAGAAAACACTCTCCAAACACAAATCTTTGTTCTTTAATTTCAGTTTCAATTTCCTGTAGAATTCTTTACTGAACTGACTATTTCATATTTATTTAATTCTGTAATGTTTCCATACTGATTAAGAGATAATCACTAACTGATCAGATATGGCCAACTCATGATCAACCAAAAGTTTATAGGAAAGCAATTATGGTTAAAAAATTTGAATAACTTGAAAACAAAAATAATAACGAGGTATTTTAATATACTAATGTTCATTATTAGTGAAAACAGGTCATATTCAATATTTTGTTTCATTTAAAAAGAAATGTTCTAAAAAGTAGCTCCAATAACGGTAAACTGACTAAAAAATATTAAAAGTGTTGTTCCAGCAATTGGAATTTAATGAAATTTTGACCTTGGAAGTTAATGAATTGAAATTTGTGGTGAATATTTTTCATAAAATTACGAACCAGATCCAATGCGAGTATCTGATATTATATCAAACATTTTTCTTAATAAAGTACGTCAGTCATTTAAAATATATAATACGACATTAGGATAGTGAAACACCTCGTATATTCAAAATTATAAATATGATATGCGAGAGCAATTTGAAAAGATAAATTCTGCATTTCTGTGCAGCAACCTACACAAAAAAAAAAACAAAGGAAGGTATACTAAATTAGGAAAAAAAGGAGGGTACTTGTTGGCAATATTTGACTGAATAGTGAGAAAATAACGATCCATTTTCCTCACTGTTTCAAATGCCGTTTTTTCTTTAGCAAGACGATATTTTAAATTTATAATGATAACTGAAGTTCATTGAACAAAATTGCAATTTTGCTCGACTGGCTATCGACTGAAATCTTTCTGCCTGTGTTACAAAATTGTTTTAAATTACAAAGACTGAATTTATATTTTGTATTAAACATAAAAGCATAAAAATAAAAGAGTTGAAGAATACTTACCACCTTCATCCACATGTGGGGTGGAAGGATTTGGATCCGATGCATGCGGTACCATTTCATGATGTTCACTATCATTGCTAGATATTTGGTGAGTCTTAAATAAGGGTAAATCACCTCCATTCTTATTTATGGTATATACAAACAATGCCCCCTCTTCGGTTGCAACAAAAAGTCGCAGTTCCTTGTGAACCCTACACAAAAATAGACAATTTCATTGTAATATGTAATATTTGAAACCAACCCATAAGGATATTCTTATATGACTCCTGAATATAAGTTATTTTTAATGAAAATTTGTTAGAGCTCGATATAAAAGTTCATCATTTGATTAAAAAAATTAAAAGATTGTCAATTTGATGAAACATGTTCATGGAACCACTTTTTTGAATTGATTCTAAAAACTGAACACTTCATGTCAATTTTATTTTTATGATTCATCAAACTTAATACTGCAACCCATAGAACAGAGTATTCATAAACATATGATAACAAACATATTGCCATCTAATATTCAGAGTAACTGTTCTGGAAAACATATAAAATTAAATGGAAAAGCTAGATATTGAACGAAACTTTTATTGATACGCAAGTTGATGATACAACAAAACATTTTTCTTTGCGAAAAATACTTTGAATTTACACAGTAACTTATCGAGCAGAACTGAAAATTTGCCCTTTTCACACCCGTATAAAATTCTCCATGTAAATTTTCATATTTCTCAGATAGTGGAAGGTGAAAATACATAAAGAAAGTTGATTAAAATGTCAGCTAGGACTCGTTAAATGTTTTCTTCATTTGATTTTCATTGTTATTTTTTTGTGTCGACTTATTCTCATCTATACAGTAACAATAACATATTTCTATTAACTTAGACAAACTTCTTTCATCATGATGTATTTCAGTTTGAATCAGTTTGTAGAAATGTTTGCAACTGAAAAAAAAACGTTACTCCATAAAACTTAATTTCCTGTATTCTGTCAAACAAGAAATACATTTTCAGGAACAATGTTTGAATATTGGGTCATCATTTCAAGTTCCATAAATATCGGTTAGTAATTTTTACCGAACTTTGCAGGAGTTATGTTTCTGACATATTCTGCTTATGATCCTTCTTATGAAAATATTGATAATTTTGTCTTTAGGCACGCTGAATTTTATAATAATGCAGAAATGTTCCTAGATATTCCCCACATCCATGCCATTATTACATATCATCAACTTCAACAAATAACTTTTGCTTTGATTTGAAATTCGATAAAACTAGAATTTACTTGAATGAAATTGAAACCCTTTTAGTGACCATATTTCACTTAGTTATATGTATAAAAACCGCATTAAGATAATGTAATGGAATTCGCCAACACATGATAAAAATCTATGACAAAAATATATGATCACTACTTATTGAGATTTTCACAAAATAGTTTTCAAATCCTCGATATGTATTTTTCTATAAAATAGCTTTATCAGGCATGTATCAGGCATGTTCATAATTAATACACAATATTATATGCATCTTTGAGATCGACAAAGACTCTAATCACAAATATCAAAAATAAACAAGGTTCCCAAAGAGGTTTGCTGCGAAGCCAAGCCAAATGAAATTAGTCTTCTGAATTTTTCTGCAGTCTCATCATTTGAGCTATATGTACTAAACATGCCTGAAGATGCTACTGTATAATAATATTAGTCTTTAGAAATACACAGTTTTCATATACGTCAATACAATTTTCCAAAATAGAATTGAAAAGCAACTCGGAATCATGCTTTGTTTGAATTACCAAACTGTACCACAAATTATGGATATTTGAACCCAATATCAAGACTCATACGGCTCGGAATTTTTTCAAAAGTGAAATCATAGGTATAGCTCTGCTCAATTTGCTTAAATTGAGGCAAAGTTGGGTATTTACCTGACTAACAATATGCNAAAGCAATTATGTTTTTTCGTATTAGTTCTTCTGGAGATTTGAATTCTTTGAGACCATCTCGTCTGTATGACTTACAGTGCTAGTTTTGGTGCTTCAAAGATTTCATCATCACTAACAGCCCTTTGTAATGGTTTTCTATCAGGTTCTGTGAACAATGGAATTTGGCCTATTTTATTTGATGCTTTGTTATGTGCTTTAAAATAGAAAGATGGTGGAATTAGATCGATTGCCGTTGGAAGTGTCTTTCACTGTTTAGTTGCAAAACTGGCTTCTATAAGTCTTTGAATTTTCTAAATGACTGATGACGATACTCAACACTTAATTCATTCTATAGCCTAATTCCTGTTCTGTTCTTTTCATCATATTAGCTGTAGGGACAAGGTATTATTTTGTCTCTAGTATTACGAAGTCTTACCCTTTAACATATGATTCCTAAATTATATTAAACTATTGAACATGACTTACATTGAAATGGCTAAGACGTTTTTGCATCCAAATGTTGGTAGGTGCGCAGCGGCAAATGATCTGCCTTGATTAAATACCTTTGTTACTGTCCCAGGTAGATACAAACTGAAATATCCCGCCCAACCGGTTTCCTGTGTACTTTTTTTTTTACTGAAAACAGAAGCATTTATAAGTGTCCAAAATATAAAAACATTTATTAGTTCATTTGTTGTCAGATTACAATTTTCAATATATCCCAGAGAAACAGATTCCTAATATTCGCTATATTAAGTTTGGCATCCACAAAGTAGTACCTTTCATAGAAGACTAATCCAACATTGCAAATCCCAATAATTCAAATTTATGTGGCAGATAGCATGTCGAATTATCTCCGAGTTTAAATGTAATGATACATGATTTTGAAATTTGAAAAAAAAATTATGGAGCCAGTTTAAAGATATTGTATAAAACTTATGACATAAATGAGGTCTTTTTCTTTGTCGTACCAATATTTTTTTTACTAATGAAATAAATCAATAAACTATAACCTATGAATTTGTGACTCTAATTAATTGAATATTACTGGAATTTTATCTCAACATCAAACCGTTATTTTTAACACCTCGACATGTGTTTCGATCATCAAGTGATCATCTTCAAGAGGAAGAATAAACTAAATATACTTGCAATGTTATCCTTACAATGTTAAACCATAGATACCTCTTCTAAACCATAGATACTTATATCTTCAAGAGGAAGATAAAACTGTTTTATAATAAACTGTTTATCTTCCTCTTGAAGATGATTACTTGGTGATCGAAACACGTGTCGAGGTGTAAAAATAACGATTTGGTGTTGGGAAAAAACTCCAGTAATATTCATTACTACACCAAAGGTTCCGAACAGTATATCACAAGTAACTTTACAATGTTGCCTTATCTACTAGTCTTTAATTGATTTTATAATATGGCCTTATCTAATAGTCAGGTAAATCTGATAATTAAAATATTATTTCAACAAGCTATGTAGGTATTGGTTCACCACCGTTATTCATAATATTATTATGTTTACTTATTTCTACACTCTTGTAGATCTAATGAATTGAAGTGAATGGAATGGTTTTGTTGCCGATTTTTCTGGAAAAGTCAGCAGTTATCTATAATATTTTGCAACAAAACCATTCCATAGACTTTAGTTCATTAAGATTAGTTAGACAAGTTAACAACAAATGGCATCTAGATGCCCATTAGTGTAGAAATAAGTAAACATAATAATATTATGAATAAAGATGGTGGAGCAATACCTAATACTATATAATACCTATACTATATAGCTTGTTGAAATATTATTTTAATTATCAGATTTACCTGACTATTAGATAAGGCCACATTGTAAAATGAATTTAAGACAGTTAAGATGCAGGTACCAGCAGATGTATCTATGGTATAAATAAGGACAACATTGCATGTATGTATGTATTAACGATCTTCCGAAATTTTGTTCAAAAGCTTCTATTACTGTTATTTTTGCGGACGATAATAGCATCTTGGTATCTGCGGGAACTGTCTGAAGTAATTGTCAAAGCTAATGAAGTAACTCATCAAATTTCTGAGTGGTGTTCTATAAATGGCTTACTGCTAAGTTCTGCCAAATCTCAAATGCTCAACTTTGTTACTAAAAATACAACAATTGATAAAAGCTATTTGGTTAGATTGAATAATGAAACTTTACATCAAGTTAATTGTACTAGTGTCAAACTGAAGCTCAGTAAACATATATATTTACTACGTCGGTTAAAACATACAGTTTCACATGATGTTCTCAAGCTTTTATTTTCAGTATTTTAATATTAATGTAAGTCACAAAAAGGATTTGAAGCTTTACAACTTCTATTTAATTATCTGCGAGCACTTTCGACAGCTGGTCGTTTAAAACATACAGTTTCACATGATGTTCTCAAGCTTTTATTTTCAGTATTTGAATATTAATGTAAGTCACAAAAAGGATTTGAAGCTTTACAACTTCTATTTAATTATCTGCGAGCAGTTTCGACAGCTGGTCGTGCTATCATCATCTAGGCTCTACTCAAACTCAAACCAGTTTGAGTAGAGCCTAGATAATGATATCACCCCATGTGCATTGAGGTTAGCTATATAATAAGCTTAGTGAGAACATTATATCCTCAAACATCAATGTCTTTAAGAGGTGACTCAAGATTTTTCTATCACAAAAAGCATACTACTCTGTGAATGAGTTTCTCCTTGGATCCTAATTTGATTGTAGCTTATTAACTTTTTATGTATGTTCTGTGTTTTATATTGACTTTTTTATGTTTGTTAGATCTGTTGAATCACCCAGTATTTTATGATGATGTTATGTTTTTTTTTGTCTAAAGTGATTGTGAAGGAAAAATGATTCAATAAATGTTTGATTAATTGATTGTATATTTAGTTTAATCTTCCTCTTGTAGATGATCACTTGATGATCGAAACACGTGTCAAGGTTTTAAAAACAACGGTTTGATGTTGGGATAAAACTTCATTTATATTCATTACTACACCAAAAGTTCCAAATAGTGCACCACAAGTGTCTAATTAACTGATTTTAGTATATATCTTACCTCCCGACATCCTCCATTTTGAAAATATGTACAGTTTCTGTGTTACTACTACAACATAAATATTCTCCGCAAAGACTGAAGGACAAGCAACTCATGGTAACACATCGCTTCACTCCCCTCCTAAATTCATATAATTTAGTGGCATCAAATGTAGAGAAGATCCTTATCACAGTGCCTTTTTCTGAAGCTGTAGCTATTCGTGTACCACAAGGACTAAATGCGAAAGTAGCCAAAGGACCTTGATGAGCTTGTATCATCGTTTGCGCTTGCTACGAGAATAAATAAAATACATTATTATGTATATGATACTGAGATTTCGAAAATAATTTAATTGATTTAATGATATGGAAAATCTTAAGTCATATTAACATTTATTTAATGAAAATACACCATTAAATCAATCACCTGTAAAACAAACAATTATCCCATGTTCATTGATTGATTGATATTTATGTGAACATACGAGATTTGTAAAAAACTGTTGACACGTTTACCGACTATTTTATCTATTCATATGAGTGGTTTTCAGAATGAATTTTTCCATTAACCAGCTGCCACATACTAACAATCTTCAAAAGTTAAAAATTGCCACCGCCAAAATCTCCGATACAACCCGTGAGACTTTATTGTGACTAGCACATATTAAAACTTGACCAAATAAATTTAGTTTTTGAACAAACCAGGTCAGTTGTCAAGAGAGGGACTACAAAACACTGAAAACCTGTCCGCGGCGGGACAGGCGTACTGCTACTGTTATTAAACAATAGAATGAAAGAATTGCAGTGTAGATTCACGAAAATATGAAAAGCAAAAGTGATTGAGAACGGTTTTCAAAATTATATTTTCAACTGACATATATAATTTGCACCATTTCACAAATACATTCCAATTCTCCATACAATAAGATATCGTCTACATAAGTGGTGATTATTAGTTCTTTCTCTTTCCTGTAGTATACACATGAATCTGATGTTGATCGAATGAAATTATGGCTTCTTATCAATGAATCAAGAGTTTTATTCCACATTAAACCTGATTGATGTAAACCAAATACTTTTCTTCAAATTGCATGTTGGCCTTGTTGATTTTGAGTACACGCAATCCACTCGATCTCAAGGTCACTCGAATATGTTCCAGTTATGCCTCTAGATGCTCTGGTTCACATATTCTTCGAGCACGTTTGGTTGGAGTTGAGATGACTCCTCTCTTTTAATTAGGATGGTGGTTTGATAGTGCATGCATGTACCTATGCGTGTGTGGGTTTTCGGTACACTTTGTGGGTTTTCGGTACACTTTGTGGGTTAGTCTAGCACCAAATCATTCGATGAGTACATTCCTAGCATTCCTAGATGTACTCATCGAACGATGTGGTGCTAGACTAACTGACAAAGTGTACCGAAGACCCATGCACAAAGATAGGTACCTGCACACTCTATCAAACCACCATTCTAGTCAAATGAGAGGAGTCATATTGACTCTAACTGAACACTGGGAGGTGCGGTAAGCTCTAATGTCGTGATTTTAGTTCTAATGCCTCTAACATTTTGGTGGTCAATATATTCTGTTCAGTCAGAGTGCTATCCGTATAATTTAGTTTTTTCTTTCCCTGTAGGTATCGTAGTTCAGATTGTTTTCTCCTTTTTCCTTCCTATCGTTGAGTTGTCCAAGATTTCCAAGGTAGTGTCTCTGATTGAGAGTTAAATCTGAACCGATTTTAATTTCTGGAGAGTTTAGAATTGTCGTCATCGATTTTGGCTTTAGTTGTAATGGGCTTGTTTCATGATTTTTTGTTTATAGTTCACTTGATAGAAATTTTAAATTGAAAAACAGTGTATTTTGTTTTATCTCTCTAAGTACCGTAGTTTTCCCGTTATCAATTATTAAAAATCGAATGTGGTAGGGTGGTGACGTCACGACCCTATTCCCACTTCTTGTTCGATTGATCAATAGGAACAATAGAAATAATCAACATTGCCAAATCGTAAAATTTACGGAGTCTATAATTATTAATTTAATTATGGAAGTGTATATGAACCGGTTAACGTTTCAATTAATGAAAAATTCTCCACATGGAATAAAATGTACACGAAAAATTATGTTTGGAAATAAGTTCTATATCTATAATCAGTACACAAAGTCGATAGATCACAAAATATTTACCTAAACTATGATTTTATGCATTATTTAATAATATACAGTTATGAAAATCAAAAAATATAGCAAACTGGATTAAAGAATTATTTCAAATATTCAATTTATTCCACAATCCTCAATCTGTACAACTGCAATTTATTAAAAAAAAAGATTCCTACATACGTACCTCTTTCTAATATAGCTACTAAATTCAAGCGTTATAGGCTCGCTTGGGTAATCCGTTGAATCTTCCAAAACTTGAGAGGAAGGTTGAATGAGGTCAAGTATAGACAAAATTGATTTTACTCGAACTGATCCAACAAAAGCTTCTGAGGTAATAATACCATTTAATTATATGATAAAATTTAGTTAATTTTGTTTCATACTTTCAGTAACAGGATTAACTCCAGATAATACTTTCTGTGGAGAATACTTGAAGTTGAAATAAAAAACTATGTCATCAAATTCAATATGTTTGTTTCCCTTTCATTTATAGTCACTTTTTAAATGATTTCTATAATGTCTTGGAAGAGTAGAAGAATTGTAGTTCTTTCTTTTCAATACTTTCACCCATTTTTTTTCTCATCATTTTATCCTTTGGGAACCTAAACTCATTATATGAAATAACTCACTTATAAACCAATGCGCTTTCCGTTTTCTTGTGTCTTTCCACACAATTAAAATCAGTACAAGAATGCACCATATTAATATTCAAATATATCTCTAAAACACTTTTAAAACATACACAAACTAAACTCGATGGAAAAACGAATTGTTCCTACGCGAGCTGTCAGCTAAGAAAAAGTTTAAAATCAATGTTGCAAAAACAAGCAGAATGGATCCGATATGACATACATTTTCAATGCCGAATAAACCAATAAATTGTGATATGGATACTCCATTTTCCTGAGAAAATGAACGATCAATTGAAATTTTCTGTAATTATTCATTCATTTTTTTTAAGAATAAAGCCAGCAAACAAATAAATTTACAATAATAAGATCGCTCGAATCCACGAATTAAGCATAAAAATGGACAATAATATTTGCCTTGATAACTGATATAGTACAAGTTATATCTAAATATGATTCTAAATAAAATTAAACGAGCTGTATTTTCAAATGGTTTCCGAATGCTCATGAACCCTAATAAAATAAATCAATTATGCATTCATGCTACCCACCAAAAATAAGAAATTCAACGTTACTGGTATATTACCCATATTGTCATCCAGTCAGCTAGCGCCCTCTGTAGTGCATGCGACAATGTACTCGTTCTAATGTCAGTGGTTTCCACAAACTTCGTATTTTTGTTAAAATAATTTTGAAATGAATGTTGAGCCTAGTTTTGTTAAAGCTAACTCCCGACAACTTACCAAGAGTCGATTTTGAAATGATCGATGAATTTTACTTGAAAAATTTGCAATACTTTGGTACCGAAATGAAGAATGAAAAATTGAAACAGTAGGTGGTATATTTAGTAGGTCCCTTTTATTTATATGACATTCATTTCAAACTTTGTCTTTTATCGAAGGATGGAAAGTTTTTATTTAATTTTTATTTCATCTCGGCCAAGGAGCGGTATGGTGACTGAGAATAGAAGCAAAAATATGTACAGTGAAATGTAGAACTACTCCAGAACATATCAATTCAAAAATAACCAGAAAAAATATTTTTGGGAATGTTGACACCGAATATGCAGCAGAATAGGCACTCGCCGAGACCTACCTTTTACAAAAACACGTTCTTTAATTAGATAATTGTAACAGTTGTATTCACACCGAGTTGACAAGAATAACAACAAAAATGGCGTCTGTCAAATTGGATCATCAGATCTGTGATTGGATATTGAAAACCAATACATTTGGCAACTCCGCTCTAAACACGATCAATTTTATTGGTCAACAGACACGCGGTCAATTTAAATTCTTGCTTTTCGAATTATTCTTTTTTCTGCAAATATAAAGAGATTTTGGGATCGATTAGGCTTGATAAGTATAGTATACCCCTAACTTGATCAGTCTATAAGCAAAACAGTATCATTTTCCATAGCATGAATCAAGCCCATTCATTGCATTGGACTCGGGGATTATTGTACATCATTATGTTGGTGTATGTTCTTCTGCGTTCTTCCAATTTATAGACTACTGAATAGAAATCAGTTTGTTGGACAGGATATGCTTTAGCGTGCTTGACTGTGGTGAGTTCATCTACAAGTTCATTCATTTTCTGTCATTTCATTTGCCTGTCAAATCTCAAAATCAACAAATTTTCACACTACTTGAAAGCAACGTTTCTATAATGAAACAATCAAACTTAATTTATAGTATTTCGTGTTATGATTGGGATAAAGTTTATATAGGAATGAAATTGCAACTTTTGAGTTATCGACTGAATACAAAGAAACACATGAACAATTCGAGCACAGCCCTGATTGATCACATCTTTATTGATGATCACAATTCAAATTTCAATGACACCAACCATTTTACCATATCAACCACGAGAAAGGAACTACCAAAGAAATGATTTGTTTTAAAAAATCATCAAAAGCGATGAACAATAGAACAGACAATCTAAGCCAAATCTACACCCCGTTCTTCGAAAAAGTTTCACCTTAATACAAAATTAAATCACCCCTGCACGAAGTAAATTAACTTTTCAGTAAAACATAAAACAATCCAGTTACAAAACCAAGTTTCCATCTGATATCCTGCAGAGTTGAGACATTTTACTGAATCCAGATATCCAGAAACACTGCTTCTTTCAATTAACATCAACTTTTTGATCATAATGAGAAACAATCAAAATACAGATATGAATTAGAGATTATCGTCGTTGCCAAGGTTTGTAATCCGTTTATATAGATAAGCTTATAAGTAAATATTGTTTTTCTTTTTATAAAGTTCTACAAAATGTAATGTAACAGAATGTAAACGTAATGTGATGTTGAAAAACATTAAAAGTAAATTATCAAATAAAGAATACTATAGCCTACAGGAATATTATAGTGATAGTATCTTGAGCTAACTGTAGATTTTGCATGTATCTATAAGATCAAATTATCTGGGTTCTATATTTTCTTGTAATTTCATCGTAGGATGTAGGATATGTTTTTCTTTTACAACTAGACCAAAGATATATGTACATCTATTCTTGTTTATATCTGCATGTTTTAACTATTTTATATGAATCACTGACAAATTAATATGCATATACTAATGTATTGTACATGTAAAACCATGCTGTACCAACAAGAGTTCTCCCTCTTAAACAATAAAGTACATTTCTGATTGATTGATTGAGAACCACTGTTACATATTTCTAGCTTAAATTTTGTATTTACAATTGAGTTGACAACGTCGCACTTCGGTGGTCGTTGCAAATCTCACAAGGAATATTACTAGCCGGTCAGAACTGAATGCCCTTCAATGGATTATATAGACAGATTGTTCTAAAAGTAGTATTTATTATATCAAAGTCAACAAGTGTTCAAACCTTGGAGTTATTATTTAACCAGTCTGATACAAAACAAAACGTAACAACAACATTGTCCACTAAATAAAAAAAATTACGGGGACTCTCGCCCTTCTCGAGTTATATAGGGAAAACAAAAAATGCTGTTTTTCGTTTTGTTTTTATGGATTCGCACACATTTTAACCAATTGAATTTGGTGAACTCCGGATATAATTCTTGATTATTTTATGTTTGAAAATTTGAAAATTGAGTTGAATACTTACCAAATTCACACAATCAAATATCTGAATCTCGCCAGAAGTAGATGAGCCAGGATAAGCTAAAAAGCAGTTATCGACATCTATGCTCAAGGCTAGTAGTCCATTAGGATTACGAGGTGTGTCTCTTATTGTATGAAGAACTTTCATGTCTCTTATATTGTGAATGTACAAGCTTTCCTCAAGACAGACGACCAAACGGATTCTAAAACAGATGAAAAATTGATTATTTTTTTGTTTGGAACAAGATATTTTGAAACAGCTGGTACAGAAAGCCTTGCCGACTCCCTTTACTTTACTTCTTAGTTTGATGACACATATTTTATTAACAACAATATTTTTATTTGGTTGCTTATCATAAACCGTACTGAAGGGTTGTAGCGAATTCGTTTATTGATGAAGTTAGCGAAAAAGTGTGATAAGAGTTCACTTACAGTTTTCATTAGTGAGACAGGCACAATTTTTATAATAGTGCTTATTTTTTTTGACAATCAACTTTTTTTTTTCATCCGTGTCAACTGGATTGTATCTGAAAAAGGTATGGCAACCTAACCTAACTCCACCGAGTGTCTCTGACTAAAGGGTTACTCAAATTGTACAACCTATTCCTATTCTAATGCAGTTCAAATCCAAAACTTTCCATCCAGAGAGCAGGCAATATTTTTTTAAACTATTGACGGAATTATGCTCTTCGAACCAAAGTTCAACCTAAAGATATAATCTTTTCTTCAAGAACTGCTTGTTTGTTTATACTTCTCTAGTACTGCAGTAGTGGATACTTTCCTTATCCAAGGGGATGAAATAGTGTTGAACAATAAATTTCTTAATGCTCGGAGATTAACACCAGCAAGCTGACTCAACCTTTCAAATGTATGTCGCTTTATCTCTCACGATATTAGAGAAAACAGTCTTTGGAGGCCTTGGGATAACAACTCGTCTTCCCTATTACATTCCCCAAAATCGGAATTTCACAACCTGAAGTTAGCCACATACTGAGCTTCTGCATGCAAGTCTATATTCAATCTAACACTCTATCTCATCAATAGTTCTTCAAAACGAATATATCCCATACCATGTTTTTATGTCCGAAATGAACTCACTTACTTTAAATGTAAAAAATTGATAACGTAGCTGTTTCATGTCAAGAAACAGAAATCCAGCCTTCTATTTCAATTCTACCTGAGGTACCCTCTACTATCACCAGTTCGGAAATTTTCACCATGTTGATCGTCACAAGTTTCTTGAAGAATTTGTTTGGATCATCTGGCCCAATGAGTGTAACACGAGAATATACCGATTCATACATTTCCTGTTGGGTATTCTTACAAAAATATATTCCGCCCTGATAGATTGTAGCACTAGGATAAAAATCACCAAAATTAGGAAAAAAATTCTGAAAACTCATCACTGAAATCGAAAAATACACCAACGTATCAGTTTCAAAAGAAAAAAAGTAGAATGCTTACAAGAAACTAATTTTCAAGATAATTGTACATACGAATTGAAAATCTCTAACTCATTTTACAATGTTCAGAATAATGGACTTGGGGCCTCCGGAGGAGTTACAATTGACAATAGAAAATCTATCACTGCAGAGTAAGTTCCAGTGACATCTGATTTAGAAGTTGTAGCAGTTCTGCTCACTATCCTTCGGAAGTTATGTATTTGTAACATATATGTACCGTCGGTTGCAAATATGTATCACTATTGAAGATATGGATCTGATTGTACACCAGTTTCCAAACATGTTGTGAAGTTGTTTATCCTACAATAGACGTGGAGTTGTCCTAGAAACTTTCATAAACTAGTCCAATCTCATTTTACTCAACAACAGTGTAAAAGCAAGAATCAACAATGAAAAGCAATAAGGAAACAACTCGGCTATCGACTCAACTTTGTGCAATACATCTCTTTTTACTAAGCTTTCCTGGGATGTTTCATAACAATCGTATAACAGGGACCGCATACCAATATATCAACCTTCCTGGAGGCTCAATAATGTGGATCGAGACAGTTGGGACTCGTTACAGAAATGTCATAGAAATCAAATTACTGAATGACGCTTCTTCAATTCTTGGACAAGACGTGAATGAGATAGTCGAACTATCCACCAAGATCATAATAGAGTCAGAAAATATCGCCATATTTGGAGGAAATATGTTGAATAGAAAAAAAATTTATCGTTCAAACATGCATTGGACACAATTACAGGACATAGTATACAATTTTGGGATGAAAGTGTTAAATATAGGAAATTTATACATATCGAAATAGTAATAGATTCATGGAATATTAAAAAGAAAAAAGGAGGAAAAATTGACAAATTTCAAGTAACTGTTTGATGATTTGCACACATAATATACAGTTTTGGGATAAAAGTGTTCAATATCAAAAAAGTTCCAAATACAAAAAATCTGATGAATATCGGCCAATTAACACTACCTTGCGCTGAAAAACTATTATAATCAATAGTATATCAACAACTGTTGGAATATTTCAATTCAAATATCAGTGGATCTTTTTTCTATTATTGTGTTTATATGTATATAAACTGAACATTGTTCAGTACTACCAATGATTCTTGCACATGAAACTCTAGCTGAGACAATAGTTTTGGTGAGTTAAGATTGTTTACCAGTTTGTATATGAATACGCAAGAATAATAAGGTCTTCTGTTTGAATGAAAATACGATTGCTGATTTATGGGAGAAAATAAATAGAATCAAATGATCTAAAAGAAATCATGGAATTATATTTCTAGTTGAAGGCGGTTGTACTGTCTTTGATGATCATCGGATCGGATTATAACATACCAGCTGAGACTTTCAAACATTAGTCTATCGACAACAATTATGTTAGCAAATTCATTGAAATGAGATACTGTAGAATCAGAACCGTACTTGATAGAAGATGACAAACTTCGAATAGATAACTATGGACGAATTAGAAGACGCATTATCCAAAGTGAAAAGCTTAACCCCCACCTGATGATATTCTCTATATCTTTCTCTGTAGACTTCCACCTTCGGGTAAAAGTCACCTTCTCAAAATTTTCAATAAAATTCGTCTGTTACAACCGTTTCCCGCTAGCTGGTCTATTTTAAATATCGGTGCACCACAGATAATTTGGTTATTCTACAATCAAGTGTCTGTGAAGCGTTTGCAAAAAGGCATAAAGTAATCGCAATATCAATTGATAGACATCGTGTGTTTAACACTGTCTGGAGACGTAAAGTCTTGACAAATTAAGGTAAATCTACTCGCTTTCGTAGCCAACTTCTTAGAGAACAGATACTTCTCGGTGAAAGGTAATGGTGGACTTATATGATTACACGAAGCATATGATGCTATTAATGAAAGCTTTCCATTTTTAAGGGTTATTAAATGTTTTTGCCACACTATTCACAATAAAATAATAAAGAAGAAAAGATAATCGAAACTTTCTATGTTTTTTACCACTTTTATTTGTAATTAACGTTACTGCAGTTTCGTCCTATAAGGACATTTTCAAACTTATACATCAAACTTAAACATTAATGTATAAGTTTGAAAATGTCCTTATAAGGACGAAACTGCAATAATAGTTACAAATAAAAGTGGTAAAAAACAGAAAGTTTCAATTATCTTTTCTTCATTGCGATTTCCTACCACGTAGTAAGGGCTACATCCATCAATTTAATAAAATAATACAAAAGTTAATAAGAGATATTCGGAGAATTATTCCCAGCAATTTTATTATACCATACTGTCAAATGTGACTCCATTCAAAAGATAATGCATGCTAGTTGTAGTATCTATTTATAATTGGAAAACTATCATGTTATCATGCGATGGGGTGTTTAAAAGTTAGTTAACACCCGTTAAGATATTCAAACCAACGCAAGCTTGAAAAACCTTAAAGATCACTCATTGACTGCTTCCTACCTGATTTTCGAGTTAATTTCATTTTTCTTTCATGTTTTATTTGTTTATTCGTTTTTGGGTTCAAATTCAAACCCACAACACCGTTATTTTGTGACATTGACGCGAACAATAGCACAATTAGGAGAACCTACCATTTACAATTCGAATATTTTGGTCACAATAAATACTTTCATTTTGAAATATAGCATTAACAAACAAACGCCGCCATTTTCGAAGAAACGTCAAATGAAGTCTGTACCTGTACCTCTACTCTTTCTCTTTGTCAGTTTGTTGAATTTCGAGGTCAGGGGAAGTTCTTTGACCGATAGCGTTTTTCATTGATTAAACTAGTAGTGATCTCGTGTCACAGTGACCCTTCAGGAGTTCTGTCAAATTACACTATTGTTGCAAGTCTAATGGAATATCAATTTCAGCACATTCATTCAACATGACTACTATAATACTTTAACAAGAAAGATCAAAATCTAATTTACTGGCTACTTTAATACATAATACTATTATTTTTATTATTTTAACGTCTTAGATTGACAGAAATAATTGTTAATTTAATGTAAATGGTTATTCTGAAAACAAATCATTATAAANACACACACACACACACATAAACACACAAAATCTCATATGAAAAAAAAATCTGAACGATCCATGCACCAGACACTTCAAGGTCACAACGCCTTCACTTCACTGCACAACAAAAAAAGCAAATAACACGTCATATTGGTGGGGGGAGGATTAGAACCGGGAAAAAAATTCTGAACGATCCATACACCACACCCTTCAAGATCACATCACCTTGACTTCACCAAACAACAACCAATAAAAAAGCAATTAATACGTCATAGTGGTGGGGGGAGGCCGAGAATCAGCTATAAAGAACTACTGAACGTATTTTGTTGATTTGGCGGTCGTCAAAAATTAATTACTAACTGTTTTTTTTTCATATAATTCTGAAAATAATTATCTGAATTAGCCGAAAAAATATTTGTCCTACAAAATGCTCGATTTGATTAAAGAGGTCTCCCCTTTGCAACATGTACTATTCACAAAGACATGAAATATAATTACTAACCAGCTGAATTTTATTTGGTCAATTACTTGATATTTATATAATTCAACACCCACATTATCCTACAAATTGCGTGATACGTTTTTCTGATCCGACACTCCAAAGTTGTAGTACAAATACCAGATGTGAAAATAATTACTATCAAGTTGAGTTTTCGTGAGTAGCTTCGTTTCAATGAGACGCCCAACAGTTTCCTTCACGAAAATGCTCGATTGTGGTAACTAAGAGGAGGAGCAGGTATATAATATGTTGGTTTGAGGATAGTTAAACATTTATTACCAACTGTTTTTCTTTTTTAATTCTCGAAGTAATTATTGAAATTAGCCGAAAAATCATTTGTCCTACAAAATTCCAGATTTTATCGAAGAGGACCCCCCTTTCCAACATGTATTATTAACGAGGTCATAAAAAATTATTACTAACCAGCTAAATTTTATTTGGTCAGGTAGTTAATAATTATATAATTTAACACCCACGTTGTCCTACAAAATGCTCGATTTGAGCAAAGAGGTCTTCCCTTGGCAACGTGTACTATTTACAAAGACATGAACTATTATTACTAACCAGCTAAATTTTATTTGGTCAGTTAGTTAATAATTATATAATTTAACACCCACGTTGTTCTACAAATTGCGTGGTACGTTTTGCCGATCCTCCAATAGAATTCGAAATCCATAAAAATAAAAATCGATTTATTCTCTACATTTTCACAACCCTCGCTTTCGAGAGAAACGCGAAGAAATCAAGAAATTCACTGAATATATTTGGCTTTCTTGTCGAACTTTTCTATCTGCTGGGAAGCATCATGAACACAAATATTGTAATGTCGTACTACCGGAAAATTGGAATGACGACAAAATCGGGTATAATTCCTCTTGCTTTAAAGAATTTAGAGTGAAATCAAAATATTTGTGCTATGAAAGGTAAGTCGATTGAATATTTTTTCATTTCATTTTTAAAATATATAAAAAAAATTTATTAAGTAAAAATGTTCACGTAATTATGTAAAAAACGTTGGAGTAAGTATTTCCATGATCAAATTATTGCAATATTTTTCAAACAATCATTTTATGAAGTGCATTATACTTCACATATTTTTCTAAAAAATTTCAAGTGTAATGGATATATATTGAATACAGTAGTTAATTTTACCGCGTGCTCCTCATTTTCGTACAGTAAAATTACAGTAAAAGTATTGTCGCAGAGTAAAAAAAAAGCAAATTGTTGTCCCAAGTGTGTGTTTTCGGATGTGATCAAAAAAAATTTTTATCTTCCAAGGTTTCGAAGTAATTCAGAGAGAATTATAGAAAGAAAAAAATTTTACAAATTAAGCTACTCTCAAAAATGGGGGACCTCTTTGATCAAATCGAGCATTTTGTAGGACAAATATTTTTTTTGGTAATTCAGATAATCATTTTCAGAATTATATGAAAAAAAGACAGTTAGTAATGAATTTTGGACAACCGCCAAATCAACAAATTACGTTCTTATTACCCCTGTTAGCTACCACTTATGAATTTTTTGTACTGGCAAATACTGGGCGTCTCATCAAAATGAAGCTAGTCACGGAAAATCAGCTTGTTAGTAATAAATAACGAAAAAGGGCGAGGGATCCCGGACTATTACCTTTCGTGTAAAAAATTATTGAACTTCTGAATTTAAAGGCTTTGGTATTTTTTAATTTCTTTGGTAGAGAACTACATGCAGTTATTACCTGAAAATAAGGTTCTTTCTCATAATACGTATAATTATGACAGATGATAGCATGTTAGTGATAATAGCTGATATTAGAATTCATATTACTAGAATACTGACTACTATTTCTACGAAACAGGTTAGAATATTTTTTTACAAAGCAGACAAAACCGAAGAAGTACAGCGAGGGTACTGTCAAAATGTCAAGTTTGGCAAAGAACTCCTCACAAGAGATTCTCCTCTAGATTATTTATTTTACAATCTATCTTTTGGAAATGCCTGGAAAATGATTAAAGTCTCACATCTAGTCTGTTCTATCATTCATTCATTTGCGCCTTAGACTGCATCATNCACATCTAGTCTGTTCTATCATTCATTCATTTGCGCCTTAGACTGCATCATACTGGCGGAAGTTAATCAGTCCGAAATTCGCCTATTGAAACCTTAAATATATGAATGGCTTCTGTAGTTGACTACGTCTTTGAGAGTTTTTTTGCCAATGACTTTTTTATTGAATTGTATCCACATGAGTGCGTCTGAACCATGTACATTTCAGTTATCATTTATATCAAATGAGACAGAAGGTAGAGAGAATCGTTAGAACTGTGTCACAGCTTATATATGTTTGTTGTTCTATCATCTAATTCTTACCTGTTGAGTTTCAAACCACATATATTGTGTGTATACGAGTAATGACATATTTCAGTACCCCTTTTGAAATGACATACTTTCAGCTTCCTTTTGCATGCATTAGATACGATAGTAACAAGACTACTGCTGAAAAGTCTTTCAACAATCCAACAGTCCTCATTTCCATTGGAATATATTTCCTCTAGGATATCAGCATTATTCAACGAGTACAGTTTGTAGCCTGATTTGCTTGCAACAGATAATGATCTGAAAATATAAAAAAAATAAATGAAAATCTGAAAATATCCAAATCTACAACATACTTAAACAGAATTTTCATTTGAATTGAATCAATAATCAGTAAAACTCCTGATAAACTTTGATGAAAATGAGAGACGAGTATGTCGAAAGTTACCAATGAAGTATATTTAATCATTTGTTTTGTGTATATGAATAGCAGAAATTTGGGAAGCTAAACTGAAATGCCATCGAAAAAAGAATCCACATGTTTCTAGAAATGATATGAACTCGAGAAAGGTTAATGCAGTCAAGCTGCTGGAAAATGATTCCATTAAAATCAAAATATAAATAGACAAGTACTATTTTGATCATTCCCATATTGATTTCAATTTAAGAGCCACCTGTAGACAGCTGACGATGCCCAATAGGCTGAAACAGCCACCATCACCAATAGGTGGTTCCACTTATGTCTCGCTTGCGTTTACGCAGTTATTTTTATTAAGTACATTTCTTGGTTGTTATTCACATTTTGTCTTCAATCGAGGACCGCCTGCCCGGTAATGACGATGACGGTGGCTCTTAAATTGAAATCAATATGGGAATAATCAAAATAGTACAGAAATGACTGACGTTTATGCTTTAATCTGTCTCTTGCAGTGGTGTACGGAAATTATACTAAACCGTTGAGGAAAAATTATGATAAAATATACAGGGTGTTTATTAAACATGCGGCAAAAAATTAAGGGACTATTCCTTGGATATTTTGTCTTTTGATGATTTCTGATAGGGCGCTTTGGTTCGAAGATACAGGGCGAAAAAGAATTTCGACAATAACAATATTGGTAACTTCAAAATTATTAACGTAGCCGAAATGAAGTATAGCGTACTACACTGGACCTACCAAGTAATAAAAAAATCTAACAATTCCGTTGGTACCTAATAACAACATTCCGATTACAGTGGAAGATGTGAAAGATTTGAAAAAAAAGAATAATTGCTGGGTGTAACGCAATCGGAAACGATCCTGGTGTTTTTGAAAGAGTTCGGGAGTCGATGAGGAGAGGATTGGATTCTTGCATCCGAGCGGGGTAGTCATTTTCAACTGTTTTTGAAGATTAAGAAATGTTACACGTAATTTTTGTTAATAAATTGTTATTGTCGAAATTCTTTTTCGCTCCGTATCTTTGAAACAAAGCGCCCTATCAAAAATCATCAAAAGATAAAATTTCTTTAGAATAGTCCAAGGAATAGTCTTTAAAATTTTTCCCGCATGTTTAATGAACACCCTGTATAGAATCACAACCGTGACAACTATGTTTTCGTTTTAATGCAATACTATTTCTGATAACTTAGTGAATACTATTATGGAATTGTACTATAGTAACGTTCATTTCTCATTCGTTTATCTTCTATAGTTTTGAGTTACTTTACCACAAACATGTAAATACACATTGTATTTTTCTATACCTAAGTACGATGTTCATTATGAATTATATAAGTATGAAAACTAATAATCCATAGAACTATGTAACAGTCACAAGTTATTTTATTGTGGATACTATACAGTGCTTTTTTTTAATGTCCCCCCTTTTATTTTTTGAACGGGTCANCCATAAGCCTATTGTCTCGGTCTCACAATCAACCACAATAATTACTGATGTACTTATCCGATAATGAAAATAATAAATGAAAATAAAAAATTCATGCAATTATTTCATTATCCCAAATTTCAATTTCACGAGTTGACCCGTTCAAAAAATAAAAGGGAGGGACATTAAAGAAATGCATTGTATTAGTATTAAAATGAATAGAATACTTTCATTAGAATTGATTCAATGGCAATATTTGATAGTTTCAAGTTCACTTGAAGCCTAACATGGAGTTATTTATGTGAATGGAGAACGACCTTCTGTATGACCTTGACCCACTATCGACAAAGCAAGAGGGTCCGGTTAAAAAATCTGAAGTTGTTATCTTTAATGGATCACTGTCGACATTGTCCTTGCAGGCAAGTTAACTTCATCAACATCGATTATAAATGTTGATCAAGTACAACATCTATTTTACTTGGTTCTTGGAAAACCACTTTACTATCCTTGAATTAGTTTGGTGGTTTCAATGGCCTTGAAAGTGTTTGGCGAGCTACGACTGAGATTGTAATCTTCCTAATATCAACATATCCTATCAAAACTTAACCTTACTTCTTACTTGAAGCATACAAAAAAGAGCTACCAACATATCTATTCAATGTAGAAATTATAATAGATTATGCGGTATCATTAAATGTGTGAAGTGGTTTCATTCAATCTTGAAATCATCTTTTACTGTACAAAATATATGGGATGAAAACGTTGTTGATGTGATCAGGAGTATGGTACGGATAGTCTAGGATCCCGCTGCAGAATCACTATGTCCATAGCGTAGTTAACCAAACTCAGATTTTTACATACATTTGTGAATAGGAGAATATATTTACGATAGGGTGCCAGTCAAAATGTGTCCGCAAATATTTTTAATTCAAAAAAGCGAGTGTGCTTTGAACCACACGACTGAAGTAAAACTTCTTCAGCTCCATCTATATATATGTATGTACTTACAATGGCTATATTGGGGAAACCAAATAAAGTATAAGAAATCTGAAAACAAATTTCATAATAATTGAGGAAATACGAAATAAAAAAAATTGTAACTAACGGAGAATTATCATCGAAATCGGTTTTTCATTGTCAAACATAATTGAAAAATTTCAGATAAATTTCCAGCTACGTCAGGTGTACCACAAGGATCGAATCCAGGTCCACTTATGTTCATAATTTTCATCAATGATTAACAGTCAACTCTGAAACATATAGATTGTCTTTTTTTGCTGATGATTTGAAACTCTTTAAATCAATCCAAACAGTCCGAGACTGTACATATCATGGAAAAATGTGTAAATTATACAGATATTTTTCTCAGAAAGAAAAACATATGACAAATATATCGTCAAATTTACTACATATCCCCTATTTTCAAATCCGGTGAATTAATCAAAATAACTAACTACTAAAGTAACCCTTGTGTATAACTACAGGAAATCCTTTGAGATGTGTATATACAACAAAATCTTTCCAACTGACACTAATTTTGTGAAAGAACATGAACATGTACGTGACGGAATTTTCCAATCAAAATGTATTCAACTAACACTTTATTGTGTCACTAAACAGTTTAAAAAACCGGAACTCGTGTTTCACTTTATAATAGCTCCTTCACACGCCTGAATAAGCTATTGTATAGTGAAACACGTCTTGCAGTTGCGTCTTGTAACATGGTTTCAATAATAAAAGATTCACGACAACAAATATAATACTTTTACACATTTTGTATGTGAGGCCGTGGAAAATTTAATATAAGTGAATATTGTATATGTAGACTACTCAAAGGTTTTCGATAAAGTGGTAAACACTATTCTTCTACACAAAGTGAAACACTGAAGTAAATACACACATAAGTCAAGAAGTGTATTACAAAGTACATTTACTTTGATTATGAAACCAACGCAATTTAAATAATTAATTTAATTTTAACTGAACAAGAAAAAAAATACAAACAAAAAATAGTGCATAATAAAATGATTACCAAAATCCGAAATGTAGAAGAAAACCATTTTAGAGCGAAATAAAAAATGCATTAATATTCGGTGTATCCTCCCTTGTTCTGTAGTAAGGTGTTAACTCGCCTGTGCATGGAAACAATAAGGGCGTTAATGGTATCCATTGGGATATTGTTCCATTCTTCTTAGGCCGCGAGTATGAGTGGAGGGTGCTTGGAGGATTCATTCTGTTTGAGATTGCTCGTTTAACGAAATCCCACATGTACTCAATGGGTTTCATGTCTGGTGAATTTGCTGGCCACGATAATCTTTGAATATTCTCAATCCCTAGTGCATTTTGTACCCTTCTCGTGCGATGGGGCCTGGCATTGTCATCCATGATAATGAAATTGTCTCCAATTTCATTTCGGAGAGGATAAATAATGGGTTCAATAATGTTTCAAACATATCTATCTCCTGTCATAGTATCTGGAATAGGAATAAGCTGCGTATGACGACCATGCATTACGTCTCCCCAAAACATTTATGATCCTCCTTGGTATGGAACGATTTCTCTGGCAAATGATAGTCTTTCTTGTCGCCCTGACCCTCTCCAAACTCTGTGTCGCCGACTATCACTAACTAAACCAAATCTGGTTTCGTCCGAAAAAACGACATTTCGCCACTGAATTAAAAGCCAGTCTCTGTGTTCCTGTGCCCACTGTAGACGAGCGGCTATGTGTCTGGGAACCAGTCTGGGTATACTCTTAATGGCGTCCTGGATTGCAAATTGGCTGTAGCAAGTTTCCGCCGTATTGTGGTACTGGAAACTAATCGACCAAACGTTTTTCTTAAATGAGTTCGGACTGCTGAGATTATTATGGTTCGATTCCGACGTACATATCTCCCTAGATATTGATCTTCTCTTGCATTAGTTACCCTAGGACGCCCAGTTACACGTCTCCAGTCAACGCTGTTAGTTTCCTGGTACAAATGCACTATTCAGATAACTGAAGCGGGGGGAATCCTTAGTCTATCCACGATTTGATGATTCGGCAGACTCTCATCATGCAAAACCACTATTCTTGCTCTATGGAACANTTGTTTTTAATGGAAAATAATGTTTCATGCAGTTCGGTAATTTGAACATTTAAACATTGGTATCTAAAATAATTGTTTTTGTAAACATTTTTGCATGCCTAGCACAGGTTGAAGAAATAAAAATGAAATGTACAAAAAGCTATGATAAATATTTTGTTTTTACAATTTACGAGGGGGTCCAAGAATTTTGGCGATGTGTGTATATATGTTTATATATAAAAATTGATGTTTGTTGGTTGGTTGGTTGGTAAGTGGTAAACTTCTACATCGCTCAACCGATCATGATGAAACTTGACATGTATGAATAATTTTTCATAGAGAAGGTTTTTAGGCTATCAATTTTTCTGTAACT